CCCCCCCCCCTAGTGATAGCCCCATCTACCTGTGAACAAAAATAGACATCCGGTTATGAGCCCCCCGAATATAAACCCCTCTCCAAATGTATTTTAAATGAATTCCATTGAATTTGCCGTTTTGAAGTTGAATTGAAAATTAAAGCAGGAAGTGAAAAACGTAGTTTGATGAGCACTGCCATACCTTTACCGAGGCACTTTTTCTTTTGCGGTTATAAGTCAGTCCTCTCGAATATAATCCCCACCGTGTATAAGACCTCTTAAACCTCTGTAAAAACTAAGGGCTTTAATTTCAAGCGGCAGTAGACGGTATTCTCTTTCAACGAAAATTGAAGCTGAACGTAGCCAGTAATGACAAATATTCATTTCAGCTACCAGAATCAAGCTTTTGTTTTGATTTTTTGCTCAAATTACGGTTTTTGTAATCTTTAAAACGTAAGTGAAATTATTGACTTTAAATAGTGACGAAAAAATCGCCCCATGTGTGAGTGAATCCAAGACAGTCTCGGATTCTGGATTCAACACTGTCGATTACTGGCATGGATTCTGGATTCCAATTGTTAATGGGTATTCGGTTCCTTGACTGTATCACGGATTCCAAAGCCAAGGATTCTGGATTCCGCAAGTAAAATTTTCCAGGCGGAATCAGGATTCCACAAACAATAATTTCCAGGATTCAGGATTCCACAAGCAAAAATTTTCCGGATAGGGGAATTCCTTACATGTGGGGAAAGAAATAATAGCGACGAAAAACATTCCGGATGCGGAATACTTAAAAAGTATTACTGATTGTTTTTTCAGTTCATCTATAGTATTGTTCGTTATGCTCTACAATGACATATTTACCAGTTTTTTCGTCAAGAAGATGATTATACCACATGATGGCTTTTCCTTTTTCTGGTTTGACGATCAAGTTGCTTTGATGACAGTTCTTCGCGAGGTTGCACTTCCAATTTTCTCCTCTCGTCCAGGCCTAAAATGAGCAGCAATATGGAGGAGAAGTGTGATTTCACGTTACCATGGTAGCAAACTTTCTGGATCACAACAATAGGGAGCTTAAGTAACGAACAGCAAAAAAGCAACCAGTTTAGATGAGCAATGCAACAACCTTGTACGTGCAGCACGCCTTTTTTTTTATTTTGTACATTTCTGAGCCGTCTTTGCAAGACGCGCCCGCTTTACGGAGTAGGTGAACACAGCACAAAAATTTTCTTTTTCTAAAATTAGATACGGTCCTTTCGGAGAGAGAGAAGCGACGACCGGAAATACGTCTGCGGTTCGTAGGCTATTTCGGATTCAACCCCAGAAAATTTCGCCAACTTTTGACAAATAAAATGAAATTAAACAAGATCGATGGAGTTAGAAACAGTGCGATTTCAAGAGACGTTTTCGGTTTGTTTTCATATAGAAATTTTGCTACAATGGCAACGTGACGTGACGACTTCTCCTCTCTATTCTGTGATCAAAATGCTCACTCTTCTTACAATTTTAGGAGATATAAAACATCCTTGCAGGTATAAGAAGAAATGTCGAATTGAAGAGCCTATTCAAAGTTAAACTGAGGGAAGTATATTATGCATTATAGAAAGGCAGGCTCGAGACATCTTTGAAGACTTGATTTTATGATCATCTCCAACTATCGTAAGTCGTTTTAGATAATAACAATCAATGCAAAGCAAGGGAAAGGTCTAATCGTTATTACTTAATAGGTGAACGGAAAGACTGTGATAGAGGTCTTCAGGTTGATTGAACCTTCCGCTTTCTCGTTATATCACATGCGCATTGAAATTGATATTATTTTCAAACCCACCTCCATTGAAAACGTTTCATTTCCTGCTAAAGGAAAAGCCGTTTCTCCTCCTTGTTTTGGTTCGTTTAGGTAAATCAAAACTGTTGCAAATCT